CTGTCTCTGTCTGTCTGTCTGTCTGTCTGTCTAAATATATATTATATATATATATATATATATATATATATATATATATATATATATATATACCATAAACAATTGCAAGTTGTTCACTTACCAAAATCTCGCGCGAAACTGATGCTCGTATTATCAGAGTTGTCAAACACATGTTACTAATGTTTCTGGTCAAAATACTCGTAGATAGATATGAACGTATGGTCGGTAAAAGATTTTGATAGGTAGAGGTATATAGAAGAGATACAGGAGAGAGCGAAATGGTGAAATGTAGACTGCCTGATATCAATGAATTGGTAAATAGGTGCGTATGTGTGTGTGTGTTGTGTGTGTGTGTGTGTGTGTGTGTGTGTGTGTGTGTGTGTGTGTGTGTGTGTGTGTGTGTGTGTGTGTGTGTGTGGGGAGAGGAGGAGAGAGAAGAGAGAGAGAGAGAGAGAGAGAGAGAGAGAGAGAGAGAGAGAGAGAGAGAGAGAGAGAGAGAGAGAGAGAGAGAGAGAGAGAGAGAGAGAGAGAGAGAGAGAGAGGAGAGAGAGAGAGAGAGAGAGAGAGAGAGAGAGAGAGAGAGAGAGAGAGAGAGAGAGAGAGTAAAATAGAGAAAAGGCGAGAGCGAAAGAGCAAGTCCCAAACAATAAGCCAGAAACACGGGCAACACCACCAGGTCATCAAAACCAAAACAGAATTGCATCATTAGACCCAAAAAATCCTCCAAAACTCATGAAATAAATAAACCTTTCCCTACATTACGTTAGCACACACACACAAAAAAATATATCATAATCAGCAATAGAAAATACATAATAACTATATTTTTGAGGGCCGAGAAAGCTCATATTCGCCTGTTCCACGTAATGAAGACAAGTTATTACGCTTTGGCTGCCGGAAGAAATTCACTTTATTACTTGGAAGCTTCACAAACTCATAAATTACTTATTTCATCCTCATTACAGCCCACTTTGCAAAGGATTAAAAGATTAAAGAGGTTTTATAGCAGACACGTATGTACGCATTGATAAATATGTTTGTATGCTTGTATACGTTTGTAATATTATTGTACGTGTATATAAATGAGGAGGAGGAGGAGGAGGAGGAGGAAGAGCAGAAGGAAGATGGTGATGATGATGGTGAGGATGATGAGGAAGAGGAGCAGGAGGAAGATGGTAAGGATGATAATGATGAGGAAGATGATGATGATGATGATGATGATATGCTGTGAAGGCGATGATGATGATGGAGGTGACGATGGTAATGATGATGATGTGTTTATGTTGGTAATGTTACTAATAATTGCAATAACACCATAAACAACAATAAAACTAAAAATCTGTCCTTTATCAAACATCCACTTTCTAACGACTCTCATCTACTCCAAAGTCTTATAATCAACTCATCTTCATCACCTGAAATATACCCTAAGCAACTGCTCTATTGTTACTACCATTATCCTCATTATTATGATTATCATCATTATTACGTCTTATCACCATCATTATCATCATTACCATCATCATAATCATTATCATCACATTACTATCAGCATCTTCATTGTCATTTTCATCATCATTATCATCATTATCATGATGTTTATCACCATCATCATCATCATTATTATCTACCAGCAGCAAAATTTAGCAAAGGGTTCCAGAACTGTGGTTATATTTAAGCGTTAATTTTGCGGAACATTAATGATAATCAGTTGATAAATTTACAAGATTATACTGTCACATTTAAAAGGTGTAGGTACCACAATCGTGTAAGTGAATAATAATAATTCCATTAATATTCATAACAACAATTTCCTCTCTTTAGGAATACTTCTTATTTTAGGCACTATTCAATCCGTGCTTTGAAAAACAAACATTGATTCACTTTTCATAGAAAAGCTCAAATTGAATATATAAACTCAAATACTGATGACCTTCCACTGAAATATTGGCTTCAGAAGAAAACACAAAAGATAAAGAAGTTATACGCACGCTTTTATTGCCATTTCACATTATCTCATGAGCCAAAGAGAATGTAAAAGTGTCTAAGTCTCTTAGTTCCCAAAGCTTTTAAATTTTACTTAATACAGCAAGCACTGGGTCACTTACCAATTTAAATCTCAAACTGAGAATAAAAACTCGAATACTGATGACCTTCCACTGAAATGTCCAAAACAAAAAAAAACAAAAAAAAAAAAAAAAAACTACACACGTTTTCATTCATCTTTCAATACCTCATAAGACAGATTGAACGTAAAGGTGTTTTAGTCACTTAGATCCTAAGGCTTTTAGTTTCTGCTTGTAAAAGCAAAATATTTTTCTTAATAAATCGCTAAGTGAGAATAAGTATTCCAAGACTGATGACCTTCTACTAGTACATTGGCTTCGACAGACTAAAAATAAATAAATAAATGAATAAAAATAACAAATAAAATAATATTTATGTTTATATTGTCATTTTTTCATTGTCCAAACAAAAATGTACAAGTTAAGTTTTTTAAAAAATTAGTTTGTTCGAACTAAAAGAAAAACTAAAATGAAGAATAAAAACTCGAATACTGATGACCTTCTACTAAAATTTGGGCTCCAGATAAAAAAGCTACACCCACGTTTACACTGTCATTTCTCAATATTTCACGAGACAAAGTGAACGTAAGAGTGTCTTAAGTCACTTAGTTCCCAAAGCTTTTAGTTTTTATTAACGAACGGAGAGCCTTTAGCTTATGTTAGAAATTATGGGACGTTTCATTAACTTTTCTTTCGGGCTCTCTAAAAGAAGCAGAGATAAAAGATTCTCATTATTTTTCTTAGTTTAATCAAGAGAATTATGGATTATTACTATTATTATTGTTATAATGCTGAAATTATTATCAATAATCGTGATTATCAAAAAGATGTAATAATGATAATAACGATGAGAATGATAATAGCGATGATAATAATGATAATGATGATAATAAAGTAATAATACTAATAATAGTGTTACTACTAATAATGATTAAATAAGGAAGATAATAACAACGATAATGATAACAATAATGATAATAATGATAGTGATAATAATGATAACAAAGGTAATGATAATAGATAATGATAATAAAAATGCGGATAACAATAATGATGCTATTACTGATACTACAACTAAGGATAATTTCAGCATTATTATATCATTATTATTATATTCATTATTTTTGTTATTATCACTATCATTATTATTATTACTATCATTATCATTACTATTAATATTTTCTTATTATATCCGTTATTGTTATTGTTATGATAATCATTACTATTACTGATATTATTCATACTACCATCATCATTACTATTATCATTATCATCCTCATCATTATCATCTCTTTTTATTGTTAATGTTAACCTCATTATTTTCAATCGTTAATATGATGATTGTCATTATCATTATGATTACTCTTATTATCATTATTATTGTTACTATTATTATCAGTATTATCATTATCATTAATATGAATATTATTACTATTTTTTTACCATGATTATCATCATTATTATAAGGATAATAATGATGGTCATGGTCATCATCATCATTATCTTCATCATTACCATCAATATTATTGTAATCGTTATTATTTTCACTATTATTCCCATTATTGTTCTTATTACTACCATTACTATCATCAGAATTATTATTTATATTTTGTTGTGTTGTTGTTATTCTTGTCATCATTACTACACTCTGTTATCATTATCATCATTACTCTCATTATTTTAATCATTATCAAAATTATAATAATCATTTTTTTTACTATATTCTTTTCTCTTATATCATTAGTATCGTTATCATTACCATTACTAATATCATCATCACTATCATTTATTTTTTGTTAATCTTACACATTATCATTAACATCATTATTATTACAATTGTCATTATTACATTCATTGCCATTATAATAATAATAACAATAATGATAATAATGATAATAGTAACATTATTACTAATGATAATGGTAATAATAATGTTACAAAAGCGAATTTATAACGATGTGAGCGGGTGTGCTTGTGGTGCTGAAAAGTAAAGAGATGGAATAATCATTGATAAAGTTGTGTGTGTGCGTAGAGTGACAGCCATTCCTCGGCGACAGTGATTTGTTTCAGTAAATCAACTTTGCGGAATACCATTACACTGTGGATTGCTACCTGCCTGTTCTTTCATCCCCGCTAACGCCATTCAGTGCCCTGTATGTGAAAGCACTCGTCAGAAGCTGCTCACCGAAGCCAGTGAAGGAGTGTAGCCTCTTGACATACAGGGTGAGTTGTGTGAAGCACTTAGCACTTGTGAACCCGTCTGTGGGCGTGACCTCTCTGCCTGGGAACCCTTCATGGAAGTCAGGAAAGGGTTATATGACAGTAAAAACGATAGCAATAATGATATTAAAATAGCAATATAATGATTATAATATAATGACAATGATAATAGTAATAATAATAACTAGATGCACTGAGAAAGCGAATACCTCTATCAAGACCTAGATAGTAGTCTCATCTCGCAATGCTAATAATGATAATAGTTATTCCAATCGCCAAGGCAACAAGAGGAACTAATGCAATCCCCCCCCCAAAAAAAAAAAATCCTAGATCCGCAATACAACCAAAATTTAATAGCATCCAGACACACCTCTGGTAATTTCATAAAAATCTGATCATAACAACCAACCAAAAACAACGACCAACGCTACGAGAAACATAATACGGAAGTAATGATGATAACAATAATATTATTAGCATTATCATTACTATCATCAACATCATTATCATTACCATATATTATTTACTATTCATATACAAAAATTATTCGTATTAACATCATTTGCACTACACACAAAAAGACAGCAGCAACAACACATTACAAAAAACGTCATCATTAAATAATACCCATAGTGAAACAAACAAACATCCAAATGCATTCGTTTAGCTCCGACCGGCACATGCGAGAACAGCTGATCGACCCAAACAACAGCTGATCCACGTAAACAAACCTTCTTTCACGTTTGAAACGTTGGCTATTTATGAACAAATTTCTCACAATGTCTAAACGTATTGGTGCAGTTCTGATCGATCTGAGTGGAACAATCCATGTGGATGATGCTGTTATCCCAGGTTCCATTGAAGCTCTGAAAAAGTTAGTGAAATAGGTAAAAAAATGTCACAATGGATAAATTTTCGTGGTTGTATTTCAGGAGTGCGCCAATTCGAGTCCAGAATTAATGTGCAAAATCTACTTTTGAACAACTGTATTTGAACGTGGGTTGTTGCCCTGTTTATGTCCATTATCCATATATAGTATTTAGTAGGTAAATAAGAAAAAACATTCGCGTGTCTGCCTCAAACCACCCCAAACAGGGCGGTCTCCGTGCATATCGACTCATGAGCAAAACCCAGTTAGTCCAGAATAACCAAAGATTCTATCAGAAAATAAGCTGTTATCATAACTAGCGATTAATTAATATTTAAGGGACCTATTCAGTGTGCAGTGTAGGTAAACTGGTCTTTGCTGCTGTACAAAGTGTGGACGGTGGTGATTTTTTCACAGTTGCACGCTGCTGGCTCAGAACTGTCAAAGTAGATATTGATTGAAAACCAATATCATTAAAAATGTTGTTACATTCTAAAGCCATCATAGTTTTCTCAATATTTACCAATTTACTGAGTGCACACCTGCTGTGACTGTATTGGTTCCAATAATTGTGGGAGCAATGAAATGTGCAAGTTAAGGGAATCTTTGAGAGTAGGACCTTTTGCATACACAGAGAAAGGGAATTGATAGCCATATAAAACTACATAGGCATTAAATAAGAGAGGAAGAATAGTCTGTGCATTATACTTTCTTGTAATTATGGTTAATCTAAGCCTAAGTCCACTCGGTTATCCTGAGTTTTAGTTCTTGTTTTGGCATGCGTACCGAGGTGAAGACAATGTTTTCTGGGGGATGTTGGGGCGCAGAGCCCCCCATCAACCCTCCCGTCAGGTAGTGCCTAAAGAGCACACCTAGTCATGCCAACTTAGATTGTTGAATAAAGTTTATGACATGGAATTGGGGACAATTGTGTCTGTACTGTGAAGAATTACTGTAAATATAAGCCAGGGATTACTGATTACAGTAAAGGACCAAAGTGATACTGTGGCAATATATTTTATGCTCCAATAAGGGGTCAAGAAACCTCTATCATTTGTTTTCTGCAAAGAAAGAGCTTGTAGACCTCCCTGGGGGATATATGATTAAGAAATCAAACAAGAAAAATAAGCTGGCTTTAACTAGAATATATATTATGACCCTATTTCTGAGGTCAGACTATCCAACAACTGTATGTCAATATGAATTTAAAAAATGAATCATTTTTAATGATCTAATTAGTGTATTTTGAATAATTAAAAGTTTGTTGTACCCCATACCAGTAATTTGATATTGACTGCAGAATTCAAACAATTATCCTCTGCAAAGTTTTCCTTTTATACAGAGGTAATTATGTTTTTAAATATACTGTGAATAACATGTAATTTCAATTTGCGCATAATATACATAAAAAGATATGTATAATTTTCATAGGATGACCTATTACTAGAGGATGTAATTCTTTACAGTATGGACACACTTGCCATAATTGCCCCCCCCCCACCCCCAACCCCCCCGCACCCACCCCGGAAAACATTGTCTTCACCTCGGTATGCATGGCAAGATAGAGCAGTGAGTGGACTTCGGCTGAGAGTAACACTTTCCGCAACATTTTTTCCTTTATTTGTGGCGTTACTGTTTGTGTTTGCAAAATATATCTTGTACCAACGACTCCAACTTTTTGTCTCTACAAGAATATTATATTCAATTTGCCCTACCTTAGTGTGGCCATACCTTACAGATTAACCATAGAGAAGGTTAAAGGAAGAAGTTGTCAATCTCTCCTAATTAAAAGTAAGAACACACACACACACACACACACACACACACACACACACACACATTTACACACACTTACACTTACACACATACATTTACACATACACTCTTTCACACATAAAATGAACACAAAAAATTAAATTACCCAAATTGGCCATTAATTATATAAATAACAGGTAACACAGTGGGTGTCCATACAAAGCAAAATAACTGCTTATATATCAAACGATCACAGGCGTCATATAATATCTATGTTCATAGCATCTTATTATATAGTGTAAACACCACATATGTAAATAGAATATCCACTGTAATTAATTGAATAAAGTTTTTGAATTGAATTGAATATATACACACACACACACACACACACACACACACACACACACACACACACACACACACACACACACACACACACACACACACACACACACACACACACACACAAATGATAATAAAAAAATATATAAATAAATAAATAATTATAAAGATTAGAAGTTATAATCTTGTTACAGAAGTCATATTGATATTCCAGGTTAAGAGCAACTAATGTCAAAATCAAGTTTG